CTCTGTTACCTCCCATGGAAGAAACTAAAACAGTGCACCTCTTGTATACTTTTCCATAGCTGTATAAGAGAGAGAAACAATTCCTGCATAGTTTGGAGTTGACAAGCTAATATTCACCTGAAGATAGGGCAATCTCCAAACTGCCCTCATACGTTCCCTTGAAGTTGCACCCTCCAGCCAATCCAACTTTGCACCCCTTCTAAAATATATCTCAGCCTGCCGGCTGCAGAAGATTAACGAAATAACTATCAGAATCATTATCAGAGCTTGGTCCATGACATGATGTAAAAAATAGAGTTTTACTCTGCTCACATCATCATATCTTGAGGCAATGGCCCCAAAACCCTTTCCATCATAGCCAGATGTTCCAGGTTCTCGTGAGTTTGGAAAAGTGCCTCGCCCTGTTGCAAAAAAATTGATACATTGACAGTTGAAAATGTTGACTAGGGCACTAGCATGCTTCCTTAGAAAGCCATCTTAGTTGGTAATAGGCACAGTATTCATCAATCTAAAGAATGTAAGTAAGAATATCCAGATATATCCAGATATGACAGGTAACCCAACATGCAATAGCTCCTTCTTAGTAATACAATCAACCATATAAGATGCCTAAGTAGATGACGGGCCAAAATTGCACATATACATTAACATAACAATGCCAAAATATAAACTAAAATAAAGAATGTTCAATTTGAAAAGGTAGTGAAAACTATATGTTGCTTTCTTACTTACAGAGCACAGTTCAACAAGTATGCAACCTATACTTACACATATCACAAGGATAGTTCCATCCAAGACCTATATAAAACAACATCAACAATAACCCATTGAGCCAACTGAAAATAATAAAAAATGCAACCAAAAGAATGCAAGAACCACCAATTATCCAAAATAACCTCTGGAGCATGATAATGATGTGTAGACACCACATAGCTGTGATCCTGACTTTCAAATGTATTATTGCCAAAATCGATAAGCTTTATAGCACTTGATTTTGGTAGATTTTTGAAATAGGAACCATTTTTTGCAGATCTGGATAGGAACTTCATTCCAGACAAAAAAAAGAGGAATAAAAATCATCAGGCTTCAAAACCTATAATTAGTTCTCAAATTCAGAAGTACAAAAACTGCTGTCGTTACCAATCAGCATATTAAAAATATGGTTGGAGAAGTAATCTGATAGCATTACAAATTAAGACGGTGAATGT